AACTTCCCATTTCCAAGTCAGAAAGAGCCTATCCCGCCATTCACAAAGTATCAACCAAAGAGACTCAGGAGCATCCTCCCTCAACACATGAATGACACTGCACAAAAACAATGCTCCAAAAAATTTTATCACTTGTTCTTAGCCAAATAGACCTTAAAGTTCCCTACTGCATCTGAAAGAGCACACATTTAGTACAGAGTACTGCCTGGGAGATAACAGAATCAATCAGAAATGTACAGAGGCAAAGTACAACAGGAACAATCCTCTAAGGACTGCCCTGTTTCCTCAGGGCCATTCTGGTGAAAACTGAGACAAGGGAATACAAGAACAAAACATGGCTCCTGCAGCAAATTTAGGTTTGGAAGTGCCTGTTGAGAGACTGAAAATGTGATCGCATATGTTCGGGATGCACAATGTGCAAACAAGTGCTGTTCATTATTTAGTATTAAAGATGGCTTGTTTAACGGGACATGAAGAACAAGAGGCAGAAGTAGCCTCTTCATAACTGCCTGAAGGAGGTACCTGTTGCTCCGTTAGAACTGAGATGGGAATTTCTTCTCTTCCCACTCCATGAAGCTGCCTCATATTTCACACAGCTTTCCGTGCAGGCACGTGTGGAACACTGCACTGATGCTCTCATTCCAATTGTCATAGCTGAGAAATACAATACACTATTATACAGTCATCTAAACACGTGCCTGGAACATTTTTTTCAAAACCAAGAATACACAAATGAAAAAAGTTGGATGTAAAACCAAGACACACTATTTGAGGTGTTCCCAATTCATTTCAAAGCATCCGACCACAAAAGAGACACAAGATCAGTTCCATAAAAGCAGTGTTACTACCTAAAATATAACAGGGGGGGGTTTCTAGTCTGTGACTACCTTCTGGTATCTTCTGTTTGAAGAAGGCAGAAACCAGCAGGCAGTATAAAACATTTTCTGTCAAATGCAAGTACAAGTCCACTTTTCCTTAGAGGAGTGTTTAACACACTTTGCATCCAAGAACCTACGGCAAACATAAGCCCAATTACATCCTGGTTGTACTATTTTAGTCAGTGTCAGGGCCTTCAAAACACTGAGCATAACCACTAAACACTGCAGCATTGTCAGTCTAAGTCTGCAGAGACCCTAAAAACATAATTGTCAGATTCAAAGCGGTCCGCAACTCCTTACCCATATGCCAACTATTATGTCTTCCTTCTCAACAACATCCATTCTCAAAATCATACTGTGTCAAAAGCATATATAACTCAAAGTAAATACACTGCATAGATCTGTACCAGTATTCCCACCACAGCACTAGACATGCTCCCTGGGAAAAAGGAAGAAACTATAGACATACACTTTGAAACTGGTTCTTCAGTACCAAGTGCTATATCTATAGGATGCTTCTTTCATTCTCCTGAGAAATAAAATGCTCACACAAGTTAGGAAAATGCCTGTCTAGTAACTCCAGCTGGCTGGATAAACACATCCATAAAGGACAGAAACAGCAGTAGTGTAGGAATTCTCAGCGCACCACAAAGATGATTATTTACAAGCCTTCAAAGATGACATCCTCTGACTGCTGAGGAACAGCCTGATGAGAAACAGTTGGGACCTTGAGTAAGCCAGATTTGTCAGAAAGAATGCTCCTTTCAAAACCAGCCCTTGAGATGGCATTACATAGCTCTTCATAAAATGATAGATTGCCTCTTTGAAGACATCAGGCTAAACGTAAGCATGACAAAACGTCTCTGAAAAAAGCCCCTGACCAGCAAATAAATGAGAGGACACAAATAGGTATCTGTCTTGCATCTGAACAATGTGGTCCTGAGCTTAAGAGCGGGTGAAAAGCAAATTATAGTCTAAGGATCACCACCCAGAATTGTTTTTAAAAATAAATAAATGCTGCCACACTGCAAAGCACAGGGTGATGTTGTAGCCACCATCTTGGGACAAATGAAACTCTTATAACAATGCAGAAATTTACAGAGCTATCTATGTTCTGCTCCTCTGCCAGTAAGGGCAAAACATTTAAGAGAACTTCAGAGAGAACACAGTATTTAATCCCCTACAGTATCTGTTTGAGGTAGTCTATGCACTGTCAACACTAAACGTATTCAATAGCTGCATACCTGACATTAATGCTGACCTTGCAGAAGGCAGTCAAAGTGTATTTAAGAAAATCTGAACTGTAGAACAGTGTGTAAAAGATGAAAGGTTTAGAAGAGCGCCAAAGTAGACACAAAGGAAACCTGTAAGACCTCTACATTGCGGCCATGCTTATGCTTAAGAGTTTACGTTTACAGAAGGAAACTACTATATTAAGCTTGCTCATTTGTGAAGACAATAAATAGAAAGGTAAATACATACACTGCCATACAAGTGTGGGTATGAAGACATGGGCCTTGCACACTTTAAGTAGTTTGCTATCAGGTACAGTAAAAGGCAGTAGTCATCCTTGTAAGAATCTCAGCATTTCAAATCCTGAACTGAAATTCATGATTTACTGGCAGGTACACACAATTCTCCCCTTCCTACCTGCTATTAACACCCAGATGAACATGATAGAAATGATGTGAACAAAAGTTCTGCAGGAAGCTTGACATCTTGAAATAAGATCAACAGAACCATATACAGCAGAACCGGACAAAAGGGAAACAGTTTTTCAGTTTTCCCATAAGGAGGAAAAGGAAAAAGCACCTAGCCAGGTAAGACTTTACTGTCCAGACAAAAGAAGATTCTGAACACGACCTGCCTGACAATTCATGGGAAAGAAAGGAAAAGAAGAGATTTGATCATTTAAATACTTCCAGAATATGTAATTAAAAGCTTTCTCAAGTTACAAGACGACAACTGGATTGGCATGATTTTCAAGCTCAAGAAGCATTCAGCTATATTTTACCTTTATCAAACCTCATTCAGAAGTTCGTTTTCATTAAAACTACAAGGATGCAATTAAAAAAGGCCCCAAGCCCAAGTTATTCATTCAAGCATCTTTAATAGCATATGAAGAACAGGACTATTGTAACTGAAGACAATCCGCAGAAACAAAGCCTATTAAGACAGCCTATCTTCTGATCCTTGATATTCGTACACTTCCATCAATCAAAATAAAAATCTAGGTCACCAGTATTTTCAGCCAAGATGCAGGAAAAAAACAGAACATCTTAGGCACCAAAGATTTTCAGCAAAGTATGTAGAACATCTGGCAAAGCTTCTGACTGACACTTCTGGTAGAACTTCAGTCCTCTTCTACTCCACCCTATCAGTTCATTCCAACTTCAATACCTCCTCAGATACCCTAAAGTCAATGGAAGAAGGGCAAAGCAGTATTTTTCTACCCAAAGAGAATCTTGGACTGACAGAAATTTTTTATATATACACTATTCTAAATTCTATTTTCATACATACACTTTTCTAAAATGAACTGTTTCACACCCATTCACCAATATTCAGAAAAATAACAAGTTTGATTTGCTCAATATCAGGAAAGATATACTCTCAGAATTAGGATTGTAACCAGAGCATCACAAATATGGTTTACCATCCAAACCTCCCCTTTGAAAGCTAATGTGAAATAAACTGGTATTTTCTTGTCTTTAAATGCAAGAAAAGCATCTCAGCATAGAATCCACCAATATCCACGGACAAGATGAAGAATTTGAGATGTTAGCAGAAACAAAGATATTGCCTGGAACTTCTGTTTCTGGGAAATCAGTTATACTTCAAAAGATATGAATAACACCTCAAAAGATAGGGAAGCGATTACCAAGGGTTGTAGGTTCCAGTCCTTTGAAAAGAAAGGAGAGCAGGGAGGTAGCGCCACCCAGGGCTCAGAGCATCTGCCAAGGAGAAAAGAGGGGCTCAATCAATCCACTTGGACATAGGATGAGACACATCCTTGCCACTGGGACCATCACACCAGCCTTTTTGAGTAGTGGACTAAGAAAGCCAAGGAGTGGAAGCAAAACCAGGCTTTCCTACATGGAAGAGTTAAGAACCTATACATAGTTATGGTGGTGTACCAGAAGTTTTTATACAGGTAAGGGGGTATTTCAACCAATAAAGCGTCCAGGACAGTTTATATGTTGTATTTTTCATGTATTTCAAAGGGACACCAATTCCGACATGTTGCCCCTGGGACACCTTCTGGAATAATTTTTTTCATCTGCTACTGGAAAACACCTCAGACTATCCTAAGCAACACAACCAACATTCTCGGCTTTTTGATTCGCTTGGTCCTTCGATGACTTCTGGTGTTTTGCTAGGTAGCCAGAGCCAGCAAGTTACTGGTAAGCCTGAAAAGGTCTGGCTTCACCACCAAAAAAGTCAGTCCGGGGCAAGGACTTGTTTGCCACATTGCTGTGTGATTACAATGGAAAGCTTATAGCCCAAGGACAGCAAGAAAACAACCAGATCTTTGCACCAGTTTTACTACCTATTCAGCAGGGCAGCTCTTCTACTCACTCTTTCAGTCATTACCCCTTATCACTGGCATGCAACAGAAGTACTGAAACATAATTTGCATCCAAATTAATTTCTATGGAAGCGTTTTCTTTCAGCTTGCAGTTCCCATCAGCGAGATAGAAACTACGCATTAAAAAAAAAAAAAAAAAAAGGGCCAACATTCAGGCACAGCAGCAGGGGAAAAAGTAAGAGACAGGTACACTGACTTGGCAGTGGAATAAGAGAAGAGAGTCTCAACAGACCTGGAAGAGGAGCAAAAGGTGGCCGAAAGGAAGAAACGTATCAAAAAATATTCTGAATGCTCACAGAATGTTTAACCTCATTTCAGGCAAGCGGGAGGCTGCGCTATGAACCATATGCACTAAAAAGTATAGTCCGCTAAAACAATACTATCGTGTATGTGTTAAAATTTTCCAACAAGATTTCTCAAAAAAAAAAAAAAAATAGGAAGAGCTTCTTGCCCTTGACATACAACTCTAGTGGAATTCAAGTAAACCTAGCCTATGCACAACCAACAGCCCCAGTGTGTTTCAGATAACTTACATGACACCTTGCAGGACTTTCTGAGGATCGAGGTCAAATAATCTATCAACATAGTGGCGGGGACTAGCCGGTTCCCCCCTCGGGGGGAAAAAAAAAAAAAAAAAAATAAAAATAGTTTATATCAATTCATATAATGGCAGATAAACAGGAACGGCTAATGCAGCAGCAAGTCTACGAAACCTACCAGGCAAAATAGCAGTAAAACCACAGAATCATATTTAAATATGCAGTATGTTACTGCTGGGCAACATCCACACAAAGAATTAACCCTGTGTTTAAGTATGATTTAAAGAAGATGATGCACTTCACGTGGATAACAATGTGTTACAAGTCAAAGCAAGTTAACGGAGTGCTGCCAGCAACTGATATGCTTGTAAACAGGGCACACAAAAGGGGTCTACCTTGGTTATCAGCACTGCCTTAAATTCCAATTTTATGATGTTTAATTACGATATAGGAAAAAAACACACAAATTCCTTAAAGAAAAAGTTTCCAAGAGCAGTTAAAGTTGCTCAAGAAGCATACCCACAAACAAGCTCTCAAAAATAAGGAAGCTCATATCAAGACATTTTTCTGTAACTTACTTTATCATAACATATCTACACATTTCAGAGACTGCCCTTCTATATACTGTCCTGCACAACTTCAACAGGGACAGCAGCACAATATTCTCCATAACACTCCCATAGCTACTTTATAAGACAAAGCGAACTCTCTTCTCAGCAACAGGACCATGCTTGTAACCTAAACATTTAAGCACCAACGATCTGTTATTCCCTTTGAGAAGATCCAAAATTGGAGATGGCAAGCATTCCAAAAAACAAGGGTGGGAAAGGGGAAGGGAATTTTCCCTCCAGGTTCTCACGAACATGTGCCAGGGTGCGTTTCCATTATCTCGCTTTTTTTTTTTTTTTGCCAGACCAACTTTTTATTAGGCTTTTCCTATTTTTTCCTTATGAGTTTTCCTTGAAAGAAGCTATAAGGGCATTACTTGCAAACTCTTCCTTGCTTTTGCAAGTATCTACTCTTGAGCTGAATCTGCTCCTGCTTCCCCACCCAGATGTCAGAAGCACCAGCAGCTTCTTGCCTGTGGTCTCCCATAACTCAGAGAGAAGAATCATCTAGAGGCAGCAAGACTCCTTTGTCTCCAGAAATACTATTAAATTATGCCAAATAAATTCTACAGATAAACTTCCATCATGTAACGAAAGACAATGTTTTTGAGAACAGCAGGAGATTTTCATTTACCTGATCTATGTATTTATACTGAAAAGTCTTCTGGAGTTCAGAGATCCCACTGCTTTCTGTTTTTAAAATATCCTGGCTTTCACCCTATCAACTACTATGTTTGCAATATGCAGAAGGGCATTCATATCCAGGCAAACAAGTTTTTCAGGTAGTCCCCCAAAATAAAGACTTTATCAACATCATCAGTTTTGCGGTTCTTTTACCTAGTAAGAAATTCTAAGGGGGGGGGCGAGAAAAAAATAAAATAAAAAAAAAAAAAAAAAGAAAAAGCCTAACACCTCGGCTCTTTTAAGCAGTATCCGCGCTATGCCTTTAGCATGGCTGGTCCCAGCACAGGACTGCTGAGCAGGACAGGGCCACCACCACGGGCTGCTCTACTCACCCTCAGCTCCCCCCACGGGCAGCACACCAGTGGCGGCTGTCAGCCCCC